AAGGAAAAAAACTTTTGGGTGTTTCATTCCCACCAGCCAGTAATGCTGGTGGGCGGGCAGTCCCTCCGGACTACGCCGGAAGGTAGGGCGGAAGGCCCTCTTCAGCCTGCTTTCAGGAATTGTGGGAATGGGTGGGTGGTGGTTCTGGTGAGAAAGTTGAGACGTACGAAATGAAGACAGAAGAGAATGAAAGATTATCTGTGGAATATTACTGCACCAGCACTTGCCTAAGTGATCCAAGGAAACCACAGAAAAACTTGGACCAAGGCAGGCGGACCCGGAATCGAACCGGCGTCCTTCCAAATGCTAAGCAATGGTCTAAACTTCAGTAATGGTTAGGAGTCAAACCTGGCGAATATGAGAGATGCTGAACTAATTCGATGTTCACTTTAACTTTTGTTAACTGTTGCAATAGTAGACGCTTGGCTGGGTGCATTATCCTAATAAGTATACCTACTCCTATATACCGACTAGCGTAATTAAATTGGTGTAATAATAAACGCCTGTAATTGTGGCCTACAGGAATTCTACTAAAATTACACTTTTAGAATCTCCCACGGATAGCATTAACTTCCTTGTTGATGGTAACATCTTGAATTTTTTTGATAGTAGGTAAATGGGATCATTCCTTACTCTGTATTTTGGTCTCTATATCGAAGGGTTTGATCAAGGACTCACTAATTGTAACAAATTGTAAAAAAAAACATTTATCTTGTTTAATCACTATTTGTAATCACCTCATGTTGTTCGACACAGTCCATTTTGATAATTTTATATGACAGTCCTAAAGTTGATCGTCTAATATTGTAAACAGTATTTAACGGTTCCATACTTTTTATTTTTTAGCGTTAGTCTTCATATAAGCAGCAGGCTACAATGCGACGTGAAAATAAATAATCATTTCGATTTACAATTGGGTCAGGGGTGGAGCAAAAGCCTCCATACAAACATATGAATAAAATAAAAGTGTGCGTCTCCAAAATCGAAATAAGTAACTTGAGATTTCCTTTTTTCGTTGAATGCTGATGATTTCTTACGTTTTTATTTTTTATTTTAACCAGTCGTTGTTTACATCCCTTTAATGGATATGTCGTCTTCTGTACCGTTCTTCATTTGTCTCATGTTGGTTTTTGAAACCCTAATCTGCCATCTCGCCCTCTTTGCACTTCCCCGTTTTGCCTTAAAATTGGTTAAATTTAGTTGAAAACGCACGCAAAAACGTAATACCTTAAAATATTTTTTCATTTTCGTTTGAAATCCCGCCGAGTATGGATTCTCTTCATCATAACTTCACTTTAACGAAACTGATGGATACGCGAGTGTAATTTGTGAGTCCTTTATCTTTGTCAGTGAAAACTGGGAAGACTCGTTTTCTTTTTGCGTTAAGGTAACTTTTAGTTAAGCTACATTTTCCCTCTTTTGTTCTTTTACTCTCTCTTAATCAAAAGCGTTCTAAAACTGGTCTTTCATCTTTTAATTTTCTTTTAATAATCTCACAAACAACAGCATAACTTCCAAAGTAAGGAATCGTATTTACCTACTGACTTTTAAGCATTTTTATAGAATTTTTACCTTTAGTAGCGATTGATATTTTAATGATTATCAAACATTAATGTGAAATCAACTTAATTTCTTTCCCACTACGACGGTTTGCTTTTCGCAAATTGCGCATAACTTGCAGGTAGTATTCCTTATTGACCGTTCTAACTTGGCGCGCTTTTTTGGGTTTTGGTTCGTGTGACACGCTCTTCTTCGTTCACATCTTCTCAATCGTCTGAGAACATTTTGTACCATCGATAAACGTTGCTTCGACCCAAGGTAACTTAATTTTGACACCTTTTTTAATTATCAGTTTATAAAAATTCCTATCTTTCCCTACTTTTTATTTATTTTACGCGTCAGTATTATTGTTTTCATTTTATTTTTCTTTTTTTTTTTTTGTTAATAAAAGAATATCATTAATATTCCGTTTTGTATTAAAAAGTTATTCACGTTGGCTCCTTTAAAAGTATGCGTCAATTGAGATTTTAAAATCAATACCCGCAATTACGTTCTAGAAAAATTTATTCCATTATATTACATCACATCGCATTATCAGCTTACCGCTCTGTCGGTTTGGCAGAAGTTTATTGATTCCATAATGTGATTTATGTGCATTTTTCCTCATCGATAGAATCACTACGTGTTTTAGAAACCTTAGATATTTATCAGATTAAGATTATTACCTAAACCAGAAAATTTACTTATTGCACTCCATCCTCTCAAAAGAGTTTCAATGCGAAGTGTTCATTAAATTCTTGTTTTCCGAACAAACAACTAACCAATACCTTCTCTTTACTGGTAAGTTTAATAATTCTACCGAAATACACTGTAGAAGTTGATTAATTTTTCTTACTAATAAAAACATGTGCATGTACATATATCTAAGTAATAGTATCGTGTATTTAAGTAAAAAAAATATCAATTTGAAAAAAAGAGAGAGAGACTTTCCTTTCCTGACTTAATCTTAAGCATTTCTGTAAAAAACATCCCACATCCTTAACTATTTGCGAACAGTAATCTAATCTAGATCTACCTCTACCCCTCCTTACTCCCGTTTCTGCCTCTAATATGTTTCTGCCTAGACCTTCATGCCTAAGAAGGGATGCTACCAACCTATCTCGCCTATTTATTATTGACGTACAGTCCTCTGTTCTCGTGTTCTTTATAATACCTCTTCATTTATAACCTTCTCCATCTACGATATCCTCATCATTCGCCCGTAACAGCACATTTCGAATGCTTCTAACCTTTTCTTTTCCGCAGCGCCCAGCGTCCATGTTTGGCACCCGTACAACGCCGCGCTCCAAATATACACCTTTAACAAATTTTTTCACATTTCTAAATTAACCGTTCGCGAGCATAGAAGTGACTTCTTTTTATTAAGGGGGCTCGAACCTGTGCTAGCCTCTGCTTTATATCCCAACCATTTCTTTCTCCTGAGATATATGACTTCCTAGATACCTGAAATCAGCCACTTCTTCTAGTTTTTCATTTCCTATCTTTATATTCGCTCTTTTCCTACTTTTTCTTCCCTTGTTTACCAGTATTTTTGTTTTCCTTTTATTTATTTTCATACAATAGTGTTTTGTAAATACTGTTTCCATTTTATTTAAAGCTATCTCTAACTCCTCCTTACCAGATGCTAATAGTGCTATATCATTTACCAGCTAAACAAATTAATCTTTTGTCCCTGTATATCTGTCTCCCTACAGTTGTAGTGTCTTTAATGATGTTGATCGCGTCTTCCATGTGTCTCCACGTTACAGTCCGACCTCTACAACTGCCTGCTACTCTACTATACAAACTAAGTATCATTCTTCTATCTCTGTAACTCATCCCTACATTTTTAAGTATATTTAACATCTTGCCCATTTAACATTGTCAAAAGCTTTTTCTAAATCTGCAAATCCTATGTATGCACTCTTTTCTATTTCTATCGTTTTCTCTATTGTTACCTGTAAAGCTAGAATGACCTCCTGCGTTCCTCTATTTCTTCTAAATCCAAAAAAAAATGGAAGGTTTGACCTATTTCTGTGATTTATTTTCTCGGCTATTAAAAGAACAAAAATTCTCTAAAAAGACATTGCCTTCATTTTGGGCTTCGCCACAAACGGATAATGATCCCCCTCCCTCCAACAAATTTTAATACAAAGCCAGTTATGGACCAGCTACGCCATTACTTTTTTACTGTTCATAGAAACGTATAATACGTATACTAAACAACAGCAATAGTAAAAAACCCTCTGTAAGGGTAAAACGATCCCTCTTTAATCTTCCTGAAAGCAGGCTCTGTTTTAAACAGCTTATTTGAAATGTTTACACGTGTAGCATATGGGTCCTTTTTAGAGATATCTCGATTTGCTCATGTAAGATTACACTTATACACACAATACACAACTTACTGAAGCAAAATACAAAATATTATTGTCTGAAACCTATTATTTTACTAAAAATAATATAGGCATTCAATTTCACAACATATTGCGTAACTGTAATAAAATCGGTACATTCGCAGGAAGAATCCGTGACGTCCTTTATATTTTTTTAGTTAAACCAACGTAATTTACATATTAAGGTAGGTATCTAGTAGATTTCAATCAGTCTAGGAACATGTGGTAATTAGAATGTGTACAAATTTGGGTTGCAAAGTACAGTAACCCATACACCACACACACTTCAATTAATTGCAGATTCAAAATTAATTACAAAATCTTTGGAAAGGGAATTGTGTCGAAAACAGTCGAAAAAATATTATGTAAAATTAAAATTGTACTATTTTCCTATGAATGTGCATAACTTGACAAAATAAAATTTTATTGGTTGTTCTATTAAATCTTAAATTATTAGAATATCAAAATTTAACTATAAATATAACATAAATATTGGGAAAAGAATCATTTTTATTGAATTCATTCATCCTCTCCCATAATTATGACGATGAAAAGGTTGCAGTTTAGTATATGGAGAGGCGAATTAGTTAATTAATTAGTGCGAATTTTATGGAAATTGATGCATTTTAGACATAACTCACTTCGGTCGTGTTGTCTTTTTCCATTATGTGCCTTACTATCCTAAGCAGTATAATAAAATCATCACTAGGTGTGGCGCCTCTCATTCTAAAAGTCTATATACTGTACTAAATACGAAAATAAATGTGCGAAAGTGCTAAGTGCAATGTACCAACAATAAAGCATAATTTCTTACTTTTAAGTACTGAATTAATGTTTATAGAATATTGTTAGGTTGTTTGCAGTGACGACTGGTTTTCTCAACTTTAATGCGTCTTTAACAGTCGCACCTTCAACTGTTTTTTTTTCTGTTTTTATATAATTCCTGGGACACTTTTTTGTTTGTCCAGTGTTCTATTAATATCACACAATGTAAATGTTTAAAAGATGAAAAAGTCGCTTCGAATGATTTTCACACTGAATCGATTAAAATTGGTTCTATTGTTACAGGCAGAGACACAAGAGGTGAAAACGAGAGCGACTTCGAATCTGATCAAGAAAATGGTGGCAATGAGGAAACTCAGAAAACCGACCAAAGCCAACAAACAACCCCAACAACTCCTCCGGCAGACTCAGGTAACTGTTTGTATAATATATTGGTTAGTGAAGTAAGTACATTTTCTAAATTTCTGACCGTGTAAACTTGTTATCAAAATACTTCATGTAGGTATATACAAAATAAACGCTGTTATAAAATTAGTTGTCCAGTAAACAGTGCGGTCCGTGTGTGTAGAATAAATTAATTTTAAGAGTAACCATGAACCAGGAAAAATCTTAAGATAGGTAGTATTTTAATTTGAAATTGCTATTTAGTGTAACAAAAAATTTTCGTTGTGCTTACTACGCATTCTATGTCTAGAGATGTGCAAAATGGTTTTTTAAAAGTACTTAAATACAAAATGCAAATACTTTTTTTATTTGTTATTTCAAATAATGTAAAATACAAAATAGATTTCCCTTTTAATTTGTTTATATTAGTTTTGCCCTTCCTCTTTCATCTACAAGCAATTTTTTAGTGTTCTATAAAGACCAGTGGTCCCATAAAGTAAACAAACAGTATTTTTCCTAATCTTTGTAGATGATTCCCATTGAGTACCTATGTCATATGTAAGTCCAATAAATGAAATTTGAAGTTTATGACCAAAAAGGGTATTACGCTTTGTTCAAAAGATTTTGAGTTCGGTTGCTTTAGGAGAGTTTTCTAAGAGGGTGACATTTCTGTTAGAGGAAGTTTCACACGTTTATCAAATCAGGTGTGCACTTTCCCTTGTGCAAAATAAAAAGAAAACTACCGATAAATAAACACATGCTTCTATAATTTTCTGCATTGGTAAATGCTTATCTTTCAGTAGAAATACAAATTTCAGTTATAGAAAAAAGTTTGCAGAAATCAATTTTTCAATTGTTATGAAAAAAAGAAAAAAATTACTTATCCCATACAATTTCAAGCTAATAAATCATATTCTCTACGTTTTTCTTATCTAAAAATTTAGCAACGCTAGGTACACCTTTTGGCACGAATTCACTGTAAAACAGTTCAACTGAACCGAAAAAATATGGCAATCATCCAATATCGCAGTGTACATGACCGCAGCAGTAACAACTCAGTAGGGCGGTGGTAATACCCCTATTAAATTAGCTTACGTTTCAACCAGTTTCGGATCTCAAATTTAACTGTAAACATAATGACATAATCCAACCCTTATCTGTTTTGCACTCTAATCATGTTTGAATGCGCCAAGTTTGCCTTACATATACGGCAGTAAAATACTGTAACTGAATAAACAGCTTTCAATGCTGATAGCTTTTTTAACTAATATCTAATTTATTTCACAATAAGTACCTATTAAATTTACTAAGCAGTGTAGAAAACATTCCAACTGTTCAAATAAAATAATTCGAAGTGGTCTGTATTCTGTCGAAACTGCCAAACGCGGATCGCGATTTCGATCTTTTTGGATCTCATCAGCGCGTCGCAGGCAGCTCCGACAGCACACACAGACCAACCTTTACCTGCTGTCTTAACAGCGCGTTTTAGAAAATACCACAAATGGCGTGGTGAGCGCCATCTGCAGTGGCAGTTTCGACAGAATACAGACCATTTCGAATTATTTTATTCGATTATGGTAACGTGCCTATCACGTTGAGGTGAGCTACGCCGGGATTCATTTCAGCAAGTAGATATCCATAATTTTAAATGGACCTTGTTGGAGCATACGTAATCCTAAAATGTAGCATCGTACTACAGATGACGTTCACCACGCCATTTGTGGTATTTTCTATTCCAACTGTTGTAAAAAACTGTTTCTTAAAAAAAAACAACCCAGTAATGATTCTTAAATTTTCTTTGTATTTTGGATTACCGAAGATAGAAGTTCGGATTACAAATATGTTTTACACAATTAATTAGATTGTTTGAATTACGAAAATGTTCAAATTATGAGAGCCACAAAGGTGAAGTTCACATTTACTTATTGAGCTAAAATATGTATTTGAAGTACTGCGCTCAAGGGGTTAAAGCCCTTCCCCCAAAGAACTAGAATTTCACAAATATTGTATGAAGAATAAGGGCCAATAAAGTTATCTTTCGACCCAGATTAAAAATTATTTCGAATCTTGCCTTTTCTATACGTATTTATTTATGAATTATAAACCCCTTTTCATTAATATTTAAGATGGTAATTTAGAGTTCGTTTTGATTGTCCACTTAACAACGAACCTCAATTTTCAAACTTGTTCAAAAACATCTTCTGTATGTTGTGACAAATAACAAAAAGCCAAGGAAAAATAACAACGCGAAAGCATTTTCACTTAAAATAATAACTAAAAGTTACATTCAAAAGTTGTTTTTGCGACGATAATTCAGAAATTTTGAGGGAAGAGACTTTGATAAAGATTTGGAAAAGCCTGTAATACATTTTCATAGGAATTTCATAATAGTAATTTAGGAATTTCAAAGGAAAAAAAAAGGAAAGAATAAAAGAATATCATAATTTTATAGGAAACGGTATAACGTGCTAATTTTCGCATTATCAGGATAAGCCAAAAGGCTCATTAAATTTTTTCCTACTTATATGGGTGAATCGATTTTATAATTTTAAAACTATTTTTAATTACGACGGTATACCACTCTCACCTCATGCTTTCTCTTCCTTTCCCTTCTTAATCGATAAACTTCATCATCCCCATCCGTCCAACATCAACCCCGTCCCTCTCACTGTAATGCTACTACCACTTAACAGGTGTCTCCTATCCAATTCTAGCTCTTAATGGAATACCGTTGATATATATAAAACAAAAGTACTGGTATGCAAGGGAAGAAAAAGTAGAGAAAGAGTGAATATAGAAATAGGAGACTGATTTTCGGTATCTAGGAAGTCAAATAACTCAGGATGAAAGGAGCAGTAGAAATATAAAACAGAGGGTAGCTCAGGATGGAATCGCTTTTAACAAAGAAAAGACCTTCTAAGCTCACAAACGGTTAATTTAGAAATTCGAAAAAGAAAATTAAAGATGTATGTTTGGAGTACGGCACTGTAAAGGTGCGGCGAAAAAGAAAAGGTTAGAAGCTTTCGAAATGAGATGTTACAGGCGAATTATGAGGATACCGTAGATAGAATAGGTTAGAAATCAGGCATGAAGGACTAGTTGGAGATACATTGGAAGCAGACACAGGAGCTGAGAGGAGTAGAGGAGGTCTAGATTAGATTATTGTTCACAAATAGTTAAGGATTTGGGATATTCTAGGTTTAGGGAAATGCGAAGATTAGCTCAGGAAGGATTTGGAATATTCTAGGTTTAGGGAAATGCGAAGATTAGCTCAGGAAGGATTTGGAATATTCTAGGTTTGGGGAAATGCGAAGATTAGCTCAGGATAGGAAAGAGTGGAGGTGCGGGTCCTACCAAGGATGATGACTGTGATATAAAAGTATGTGTACTACTAGTGGTGGATTAAGAACCGAACATAAAAATATTCTGTTACATTAGATTGCAGGATTCATATTTTGAAAAAGTACGGTACAGGGAAATTTGTACTTCAGTCTTCTTTTCATGCAAATAATAAAGATAAATAAATAAACTATATCTAAGTAAAATAAATGCAATGTAAAGTTTTTAAAAGGTTTGTTTGAATATTTTGACAGTTCGACTACTTCAAAACAGTTTTCAGAGAAGCATCAGGTGATATTTTCAGATAAACGTGATTAAAAAAAATACATTATTGATCTCTTTCATCAAATTATGCATTTTAGCTTACACGCCATAATAGAAAAATGCTTACATTGGACATTTTACCATATCTGTATGTCTATCTGCATTCAGCCTGCTACAAAGGTCTCGTTATTTCTATACACACAGTTTTGTTAATTATTGTATACTTCATTTATTTTCTCTAGCGATGTGACCCTTCCAACGTCTTGGATGCGCGCTGGCAAAATCGTAGGTAGGGAGAAAAAGGTTCATTATACTCTCGACTCTTGTTTATTAAATATACTTTTTCATACAGTACCTGCCAAAAGATTTATTCAATCATGAATACTAGTACGAGTCGAAGACAAACGTTAAAGCCTTTAATATGTCTTCAAATATAAATAAACGTTGATATTTTCAGTAGTAATTGGTACCAATAACAGCACATTTGAGCAATGCAGTTTTAGTGGATAAAATGGTCAATTTTTCCGTGCAGTACTGTACAGTTTATACGCTCCTCACCGGTTAAGAGTTTCACCGAGAGTTGTCTCCTTTCTTTTCTGGTCTAGTGCTGTTCTTTTCTACTTTGCGCCGGTCAAACTGAAGGTCACATCGCTACAGAAAGGAAACGAAGTATAGTTGTACTCTGAAAAAATAATTTTTAGGGTTCGTCAATGTAAAAGCTGATGTTTCTCAGAATATCAATAAGAACTAAATTGGGTATCTGAGAACGTAACGTCCTTAACTAGAACATATTTTTCAAATTTGTTTCATCCATACGGGCTGGTAAATTACATCAGCGAGGAGTTAGCCGTCCAGAGATATTGCTTCGATTTATTACGTCGTCCCCAGCGATTTTGCCAATTACTTATCAATACGTGAGATTGGCTGGCAGATATTCTTTATCAACAATGCTTCCGTTGTTGTCGACATCGGAATCGTTTGACTTCGAAAGCTTCCCCTCAACATAAATTCAGAATAAAAATGCATATCTACATATATATTTATTGTAATGCAGACTAAAATTAAATTACCGAGGTACATGCTATTTTATTTACTGAAATTGAATGAGCACCAGGAAACACATGAGATTATTACCCGAGTAGAAAATAAAAAGAATAGGGATCCGGATCGGATGCGGCACCCCACCTACCCTACTAGGGTACCAACACGTAAATCTGACCATCATCATCATCATAAGGTCGTCAGTCCTAAGACTGGTTGGACACGTACCTCCACTCTTTCCTATCCTAAGCTAAACTTCTCATTTCCCTAAAACTAGAACAGCTCAGGGTCGGATAAAAAATGTAACGCCTTAAAAAGGCAGGTCCGGAGAGGGATATCTTGTATGGTCCTGACTAGGTTTATCTACACCGAGCATATCATAATATTCTGATTGGTCAAGATTAAAATAAGATTTAAGTAATTACAACTAATTATTAGTAATTAAATATTTCTTTTAGAATGTAAAATTTTGAACTTAGACACTCAAACTATGTAGGAATGTAAGATCTTATTATATTAATTAAAGTCCAATTCGTCGAGAAATTAAAGTTCAATAATACATACTGTCAAATTAGGCGTTCCCTGAAAGGATTACAATAAAATAATATTATCAGGGCCGTACTGGGATAGATTAGGAATTTCGTATAGGTTTATAATACGGCAGTCAAGTTAGGGCCGGATCAGAATACCCTAAGAGGGGCTACGATAAGGCAACCAAGTCAGAGCCGTATCGGGATAGGTAAGGGATTTCATAACAAGGGACCCTTTTTACTACCTGATCGGGGCCTTATATAGAGATATCGTAACAGGGCATCTCTACTACAGCCTGATCCGCTTCGGATGGCTATTAGGGCTACCCCTCTTAATTTCTACTCGGGTAGGTATTTCCTGGACAGAAAATACTGGAAAATGGATCGCTGACATTGTTTGTCTTGTTTTCCAACATTTCTCACATTCAAACAGTTGTTTCAGATTGAATGACATATCTCCATAGTCATGTACTTGATTTTATCTTCTATGTTAAATGACTTCATCTAAACACAACTTTATATTTGTATTCGGTTCTACTGTGTAATTTCTAAACTTATTTTATTATTTGATTTGAAATTACGAAATGCATAGTGTTCTTATAAAAAGATGCAAAAAACCTGATTGAATATTTAGTATATTTTCACTTGACTTCTTTGGAAACGTCATGGCAGTGGCTCAGTAGTTACACTCAACTGCTATCACGACTTACAAAATTATTAAGAAAGTGTAGCTTGTTATCATGTTACTTAACTTCTATATAAATATTGTCAACGTGGAACCCAAACTATACGAGCTTTTCCTATTTAAATCCAGAAACAGTGAAACAATTTTATTAATAAATGTTTTGTTCATATTTAATTTTAGTATTTGCAGTAGAGGAACGTTTTATAGTTTGTCTTTTCTATTTTAATATACGGTAATAACGATTTTCACATCTCTTGAAAGTAATAATGTAGAAATGCATGTTTTCAATGTATACATTGGCAAATCTTCATATTTATCAAGCTGTTTACATGTTCTGTTACATGGAAACAGATAAAGAAACATCTAAAACTAGTAATTCCAGCAAGGAATTATTGATGACCAGAGGTTTCATGATTTCCGCTTGGCTGTAATTTTACTACGGCTTTCATAGAATATAAGTTACAATGAAACGTTATAGTTTCATATGTAGGTATGCAATTTAATGCACCTACAAGTTGTATTGCAGTTAAATTTTAATGGGTATGTTTTCTGTTGTTACAGACAGCCCAGACGGTCATTACTTTAATGTAGAAACCCCAAATACAAACATGAACGACGAATTTGAAAGGAAACGTTACCTACTACAAAATACTCCTACGGTATCAGGGGGTCAATCAAAAATTTCAGGAATCCTTAAAGGCGGTCGCCTTTGGAAGCAACTGTGTCACGACAGTGACAATAAACCTACGGAATTGCAGCTAAACGATTCCAACAGTACTTCTGACGATGAAAATAATAGCAATAAACGTTCAGTACGATTCACCGAAATCTCTGAAACGGAAAGGGACAATTGTGACGGTGCTTCTGATAGACCTGACGGTGAAGATGACCCCATTTCTCAGCAGAATTTAGAAAACAGTCCCAAATTAAATAACATCTCCGTCTCACCGGAGTCTACCGAAATGACTTTAACATTCAAACTTGGAAATCACTTTTTAGTTTCAAACAATAGTTTAAAACCAAATTCGGCAGTAAGACAGCTCTTTCCCTGTTCGAAACCGTTAACTAACGCAGACGATCCTGACCATATGCATCAATACTTGGTGACTGCTGAATCACTTCGAGCATTTGAAGAAGCTAAACGATCGAAACTTCCTCAAATAATTCAGAATGACGATACGGACGAGTCGATTAAGAAAGCGATTGAGCGCAATACACTTCGAAGATCATTAATAAGATACGAACCTCGAAGTAAACGAAAAGAACAGAAACCAGACAATTCTTTAGTTGAGAGAATAAAGCAGTTAACTTGCGACGTCGATGAGGGCACACAAGAGATTGAAATGTCTCAGGTACGTGTCAGTCCTCCTGGCGAAGAATCATCGAAAACACAAGAAGAAACTTCCATGAATCCAAAAAGCAACGACAAGAGTTTCTCTCCTTCGTCTTCTTCTACAGCAAGTTCTAACTCTTCTGGCTCTTCTACTTACAAAAAGATCACGGATCTGTTCAGTAAAAAGGACAAATTGCCGGACATTCAAATGAGCGTAAGCGCAGATAATACCAATAAACAAACTCAAGCTTCTGAAACAGGAAGCATTGACGGCCACGACAGACTGAATCATCAACAAATTGCAAAGGTTAATTCTACCAATGAAGCTAGAAAACAGTTTCTGTCCTCTTTAGCGCCCCTTACAGCTTGTGTAGGAGGATTCGCGCTGGCCGACGATCACCATTATCACCTGGCTAATAATCATCCAGGAACTCGATCCTCAGTTACTAGTTCAGTGGGAACTGAATATAGCCTGGAAGATATCGACGAAGGTTTAAGAAACGGAGGAGATGAAGACGCCGAACCAAAACGAGTTACTCCAGACGTTGTAGCGGGAACTCCGTCAAACGAATCTGCAGATGAACTCGCCATGTTTGTCCAGCAGGACGCCAGTCGAATTGAAAGGATTAAGAAAAAGTAAGTACTATTTCATCATCTAATTTCTAGGTCCTTGTTTCTGCTCCAAACTTTTTCATCTCGTGGTGGTCATTGATTTTATTTTTTAAATTGACATTTCCTTTAGGTGTATGTCAATGCATTACAAAGGTTGTCTTGTAGGTTACGTTGTGTACTAAAAACTAAAAATGACAGCGAAACTGAAATGTCTAGAGTAGATATTATTTAGTGATGAGCAAAGCAAGACCAATGCCAAAACTGTCCCAATCTTGGTATTGCTCTTGGTCTTGATCTTGCTTATTCTGGCTCGGTCTTGGTCTTGCTTATTCGGCCTTGATCTTGGTTTTGCGTGTTAGTCTTGGCCTTGCTCATTTAATCTGATACTTGCATTTTTTTTAATAATTCTTCTAAGCATGAATTTTTCTATTACCGACACAATAATTGTTATAAATACTGAAATTTTCTATCATACATGCGACCTTGTCATGAATTTTAAAGAAAATACTGTCGATAGTTGTGAGAGTTATGAAAACTTTATCCTTCCTTCAATGCATAAATTGACTCTTTCTTCAACGCATAAACTGACCTTCTAGCTTTTGAAATAAGTAAAAAATATCGAAAAAAAAATTGGTTTATCTCTATATTTCAACCGTGTGTTATCCAGATATAGGAACAAAGAATACTTACTCCGAGAACATTCTTGTAGATTCCTTTTTTTCAAAGAGTGGTAAAGTTTATTTTTATTTTTTAATTTAGTGTTAAAATCTACTAAAGCAAATTAAAAATTTCAGATACTAAAACAGTTTTGTTCCAGGAATAGAATATATTGAAGTTGCTTCAAATAGTTTAATTCATAAATCCACCGAAAGAAATAATTTTTTGTTTAGTCATGTCTATTTGGTCTTACTCTTGCATATTCAGTTTTGGTCTTGCTCGTTCGATCTTGATCTTGATCTTAATCATGGTCTTGATCTGGGTCTTGATCTTGGTTTTGATCTTGGTCTTGATCTTGATCTTGATCTTGATCTTGATCTTGGTCTTGATCTTGGTCTTGATCTTGGTCTCGACCTTGGTCTCGACCTTGGTCTTGACATTGGTCTTGACCTTGGTCTTGATCTTGGTCTTGATCTTGGTCTTGATCTTGGTCTTGATCTTGGTCTTGATTTTGAACTTGGTCTTGATCTTGTCTTAGTGTTGCATTTTGGGACCAAGACTAATTTTGTTTTTTGTTTTCCCTCTGAAGGTGTGCATAGAATTGATTAATTTTTCAATTTTAGATACCAAACTGATAATGACGAAGAGGATGAACATGACGATTATGGATTCAACAAACGACCTAGCGTCCGGGGAATAAAGCCCAAATTTAGTACAACAACCGAAATACTGCAACAAATTCAAAACCATATGCAAATGTCTCCTGCGCCAGTAAAAGTTCCCAATCAAATGTGGCCCTACTATTCCGAAACGAGTTTGAGCAATTCAGAAATTAAACAAGTGAACATTAATCAGTCCCACCCTTCCGATCAGTATAATCACATACCCGATGATGGCAAATGTAGGACCTTTGCGCAGGTGTATCGGCCTACATCCTTCGGCGATAATAACATATATCAAAATTGTGTTAATCAGCAATGTACCCGCGACGTCTTGTACCGTACAAATATAAATCATGTTCATCCTGTAATGAGAATCGGTGGTGGTTGCAGTGAAGTTTATCAGCAACCGTGCAATGCGAAAGAAAGGGGAGGTCGGCCGGAATCACCTCCGCCTTTAGATATGGCACGCACCTACCACCAAACGATGGTCTATATACCTTACAACCACTTGGAAAATTACCAGAACCACTGCTTATCACCAAACACTCATTACGTAACAACTACTAACAATGCCAAATGCTATCCAAGAAACTATAATCAAAATCAAATCAATGCCAGATGTTCTGAGACGTATCACAAAACAGTGAATTACACTTTAGCAGGCGATAGAGTCCAGTTTCAGGGAACTGCATTTAAACAAAACGTGAAGCCTCCTCTTCGTGTGCCATTCTCTAGTACAGTAGCTCATCCGACACATTCGCGCAGTGAAAGTCCTCTTCCAGCTCAAATTTTAACGGCACGATCTACCCAGACTCCTTGCACCAGGATGCCATCTTGCACCTTTTATCCTACGATAAACGCTAAATTTCGACCTGCTGTTGGTCCAGGCAACAGTGTTCTGTACGCTGAAAGCCCTTATGGTAGTAAAATAAACAGGCAGAGCTTTACGATACCAGCGTCTCGGTATCCAGCTGCAGACAATATTTCTTTTACTGACAGCGACAGTCAGTACAGTACTCAAACCCCAACCCTGTACAGACAATATGTGGAAACAACGTTTTCGGCCCAACCGGATAATGTGCTTGGGTCACCGACTAAACAACGGTTTATAGAAAGGGGCGTCCCTGAAGGTGCTGCAAGCGTCCCTTCTCAAGACTCCTTGTCTTCTCAGAGCACTATGACATCACCCACGTCTCCTCAACAGAACGTACAGACAAATACTCCTAAACCTCTGTTTTACGCGATGAACGTTTGACAGAACGATTAGGTAAATATTAAAATCGTTCTGAGTAGCGTTAGAATTTTACCAGGCCAAAGGAAGTTGTCAAATGAGTCGAAGAAATAATGAGGGAAAGTATCCTAAAGCAGTTTCGATTCTTAATACATGTATATGATGAATAAATGCTTTGAGTAAGAAGCAAGATAATTGAGATTAATTGTAGGTTATACTAACCGTATTGGCAGAAGATACCGCACAGTATTTGTAAAGGTAATTAGTAGTTTATAGATTTCTGTTACTTTGTTTTTTATTTTTTGTTATTTTGTACTTAATTGTTACGCTAATAACAGTAGGAAAATTTAAATGTAGTCACTGTTGCCAAAAAAAAGAAGCGATATTCCATTACCAAAGTACTATCATATTTTTAGAAGTAAGTGTTACTGACCAAATGTAACTTTGCCCTAGGCAATTAGTTTCTCTTAAAAGGCATTCCAATGTTTATCAAAATGATTAAGTATAATTATTAATAAATTAAAAAAAAATTGTTCGGCTAACTGATAAAGAATTAGCTTTAAATATGTTAAAGAGTTTAACATGGAAAAATCTAGAATTAATGGTCTTGGTCTTGCTTATTCGGCCTTGATCTTGGTTTTGCGTGTTAGTCTTGGCCTTGCTCATTTAATCTGATACTTGCATTTTTTTTAATAATTCTTCTAAGCATGAATTTTTCTATTACCGACACAATAATTGTTATAAATACTGAAATTTTCTATCATACATGCGACCTTGTCATGAATTTTAAAGAAAATACTGTCGATAGTTGTGAGAGTTATGAAAACTTTATCCTTCCTTCAATGCATAAATTGACTCTTTCTTCAACGCATAAACTGACCTTCTAGCTTTTGAAATAAGTANAAGATGTAAAAATGGGTTCAAAGATTAATGTATCGATCAAGGCACAACCCAAACCCCTGAATCAAAAAGCTTGAAATTTTGCACAAAGATGTCTTGTACAACCCCTTCATCATCCTGTATAACGTATAAAATACCGCCCCTAAAGATGTAAAATGGCGTTTTACGATATAAACGAACTTGTAGACAACAGCTAGTCTAAAATAAATACATTTACGAATCTAATAATGGAATGTACATACCTAAATAACATAAAATATAGAAAATACAATATTTTATGCGGATACCGAATTAAAACGGATCCCAAAGCTATAAATGTCCCATTTTACCAATTTCAGTATGGAACACTAAACATATACTTTTTAACTTTTTATATTAAGTAAAAGTATCAATCCGTATGCCTTTTACGTACCGATCTTTTAGCGAATGAATTCATTCCTGTTCCAAACGATTGCAGGTTCTTTTGTAGTTGACGTCGATACATTCGATACATTGAAATTCTTCGAGTTTGTGCCCTGCAACTCGTCTTTGCCATTTGTGGAAGTTACATACCTACCTGCCATTAAAAAAAAAAAAAAATAGATGTCCTACAAATTGATACCTTTTAAGTAGCCAGGTTTGAAAACAGAGGTCAATAATAATAACATTATTTGGTGTAATCCTAACTTGCAGGTAAGTGTACACAAAAAAACAGCGAACTGAGAATTTTAGCTTCCCTATGCAATTGAAGACAGGTAAGGGACTCATTTTTAGTTAACTGTACGTATGCGAATAGTAAATATGCGAAAGACGTTTCACCAGCTACATACAACACTATTGGTAGTTTCAAAAAGTGATTTGTCAAAAATACTAGGTATACTTTCTCAAAGATTTATTCAAAATTAACCAAAAATAAGTTGCAGATAACAGCAGGTAAAAAGAAGCCACTCTTATTATTACAACAATTTTTAAAACGGATATAGATTATTCCACAAAAAATAAAATTCTGTTCCAAGGCCTAACCATTAATATATTATCTTTTAGTTGATTATTTTATTTAACGTTATGATTAGATTTGTATTTTTTCTTTAAAGAATATTCTATCTTCAAATTTTATCGCGAGAAATTATTCACGAAAAAAAAATTTTCTCCGAGTTTTCTAAAAAAATAATTCTAATAAATCTGTTTGTAATTATAAATTCAAATACTGTAAATACCATTTTTTTGTTGTTCATGATTAGCTTTTACCCGCGTCTTATTCGTTCGCGTTGATATCCTAAATACGTGTCAAAAATCATCGACGACCACACAAAATTAATTTTTTCTATCCCTTGGGAACAGTAACTTTTGTGTATAAAAGGTACCCTGTATCCTCTTCTATGCCCCTGACAATGTGTTTACAACATTTTTGATGAGTCCTTGTATTCGTTTACGTTTTTAATTTTTTTTTAAAGAAATGTTTATGTATTCATATAAATTATCAAGTGATAGAAAGATAAAGAAACTAGTTCACCTCTACATTGTCCTTCACGGACTGAATTTAGTCAAGATATGGCCTATGGTGTGTGGTCAACATGATGGCCAATTGTATCCTTATTTCGAAGTTGAACGTGGTGCCTGTTTTGTGTTGTTTAGTGAATCCTTTGCAAATGTTAGTTTGATAGACTTTTAATACTACTAGTTTGCAACAAATTTCTTTCGCAATAAAAGGTAAGATTGTTTGCTGAGTAAATTTAAAAATTCTTTCTATTTGTCTTAGTTTTTTTTGTCTTTTGCTAAAGAAATAGTAAACGGTTTTTATTCTTTGCTCATTAACGAAAGAAATCAGTTTGTTAACTATTTGCCAAGAAATATATAGCTTTTTGGTTTTTTGAGTAAGTAGGTATATACATATGTTAATAGTGAACTATTTTTGTTAAATAATGGAAACGGGTGATATGATTGTAAGTGTGAATATGTTATGATAAAATAAGAAGGATTATCGTTCATCGATTTTTAAAATACAATAAATTGTAACTGTTGGGTGTATCTGGTGTGCCTGTACTGAATGAAATATTTCACTTATCTATAAATAATACTATAACAATTTTTAATTGATTCTATTAATTTTTAAAGTAATTACTTCTACTGATAGGTGAAAGAACCTTGTTCATTTTTACTAAACATTAAATATTGACTCATACAACAGAAGAAGCAAGCAATATCTGAATTAAAACTACAAAATTGTACATTATTGAAAGATGCATCTATGTAATAAATAAGATAGTGTAGGCATTTTCGGGCTTTCTTAACGTGGTTTATAGAATAGGTATTTCATTTCCCAAAAATAATCAGCCACAAAGTGCATTGTTACTTATAAACAATGTAAATAACTATAAATAGATTTAAGATTTTTTAAGAAAATTTATCATTAGTTTATAATCCGTGTACCTTTAATTGAATTTTAATGATTTGCTGAAAGTTTTAAATTATCTTACTCGCACCTGTTTTAAACAATTCTTTGTAGAATAGATATAATGTTTAAAAATGATAATTACGTTAATATTAATAAGTAAAGTGAGTAAACTTGCTATAAGTATTTATATATATCGTTTAAAGACGTTATTTATGAAAATTTTCTTATTTTTATTAAAAATCTCGCTAATTTGAAAGAGAAGCCTACTGTGATCACCATAAACTGTAAAGTATTACGAAACTAAAGGTAGGATAAGTGGTGATTTGGAATGTACTGATATCAATTAAGAACTTCAAAACTCCATGGACCATGAAACTGAATCCTGAAAATTAAGATTATTCATTTCAAAGGAGTTCAGTATTTTTTGGGCTTAAAGAATCAAAAGGCATTCATGAAATGTCTCTTTGTCCCCTTTTTAAACTTCTGATCTTCAATGATCAATATGAGCAACTTTCATTCATCATTTTATATAGTGTTTGATCGGTGATACTGGCAAAATGTATTTTGCATTTTACAAGTAGAAAATACGTTTGGAAGTATTTTAAATAAAATAGAAAATGCTTTTCTCAAAAAAGTATTTAAATTCAAGAGAAAAATAGGTATTTTTTATTTTGTATTTGCATTTTAAATGCAAGCATTTCAAATAAATCACATCTCTGTTTAGTGCATACGTATACCCTGACATTCAATCATAGGAAACCATAAAAACTAACATTTATTTGTAAAAATGATTCGTAAAAAATAAATAATACATGTAGTTGTAGCATGCGTGATATTTAGCAAGTACATTGCTTGTATTATCTTCTACATGTTTGAATATTTATGGAATGCATCTGCAGCATATGCAATGGCAGCCAATAATCCAAAGACCTGGAAATTTAATTTTATTAGTATTAGCACTTCGTCATTTCAACTCTCTTCCGCATCGTTACATTATGAAACAGTTTATAAACATTTTGCAAAAAACTGAATAAAAAGAAAGCGAACTACTGCTCATGCTTTTTCTTCACTTCACTGATATAATTGAAGGCGTGAATTATAGATCAACTTTTAAGTAGGTACATGGAGTGTTTCTTAATTAATAGGACACTGTTAATTTAATTAATTGTTATCACAATAGGCGTCTAAAGATTATTATGTGTAGAAGCGTAGTAGTAAACTTAGTCGTTCCACAATCGTCACTGTTTACATTTTTTATCGACGTAGTTACTTAGTTGTTATCGCAATTTCTCTGTACGAGGGCGGTTCAATAAGTACCCGTGTTTGAAGACATAGGACGGTCCTGAGGGAAATTGGTGTTGTCATCGTGGGCTGCCATCTATCAAACCACGCCAAAACGAATTTCAGACTGATTGATAGGTTAGTTTGAATTTGGCAGCCATTCGACTGAGACGTGCTTCGTTATTTTCGCTATGATGGAAAAAGAGCAGTATCGTTCGGTAACTCGCTTTTTGTTTTTGGATGGGAAAAAATGCGAGGAGATAAAAGCAAAGTTGGATGCTGTTTATGGAGACATTTCGCCATCTTTGACCACACTTAGATATCGCTTCAACGAATTTAAACGTGGACAAAGGTCCGTTTTTGATAGGAGCGACCAGGAAGCCTGGCAAACGTTGTTACCGAGAAAATCATTTTACGGATTTTTTAGGAAAAGGAAGAACGATCACTGGACAATACTACAGTGCGTTATTGGACCGCTTCGACAAAAAATTGAAGGAGACACGGACGCATTTGACGAAAAAAAGGGTGCGTTTTCAACACGATAACGCACCGGCACATTCATCAGGAGTTGTTGCCGCCAAAATGCATAAATTACGTTATTTTTAACTGCTGCCGCACACCCCGTACTCACTCGATATGACTCCCTGCGACTTCGTCTTGTTCCCTACCATGAAGAAATGACTCGCGAGAAAAAAATTTAGCTCAAACGAGGAAGTCATCGCTGAGACAAGGGAGATTTTGGAGAGTTCTACAAATCTTGTTTTTTGGAGAGGTAAAAAAATGGTAGGGACGTTGGGAGAAGTGTATCTTTCTAAAAGGGGACTATTTTGAAAAATAAAAAAAAA